TATCCATGACAGTCGTATTTAACGCGCTCTGCCATCACATTTTGCTGAGGGCTAGATGAAACGAAAGTTTTGTGAAATGTGCCGGTCTGATGACATGTCTACCATCAGTTTGTTCACGATATCTGTTTCGTCGCCGGATCTCATGTATGTGAGACGAAAACCCCATTGATTTTCACGAAATTTCTTGAATTCCTTTAATTTCCGAGCTACTTCACTCTTGCTTTTGGTCAATAATTGCAACATAACTTGGAAAACATCCCAAAAGCGAGGACATATTTTGCACCTCTCCTCAACGGAGTCCGCATTGGACGCATGATATATGTATTCACCCGCTTCAGAACATGTGTCGCCTCTTTCGACGTCTCCGACTGGTTCTTGGAGCAAGCATAACGTTGCTTATCACTTCATACGCGTCAAGCAGATCATTTAGTTTCTCGGCCTGATGTAGAGCAAAAAAGATGAAGGATGAGCTGATGCATGTACTACAAAACGGCTCAGATGCTGCAGAGGTAACTGATGAAAGTGGCGGTCCGCCGGCGTCGAATGTGCTAGGATTGACAAATACGAACTGCTGTTTTCGCATACCTGATGAAACAAGTGAAGATTATACGGACTTTCCAACTGGATATGCTCAGGTAATGGCAAGCGACGTTGCAGTAAAGCGGCGTTGAGTTACTCAAGCCAAGCTTCGCATTCATGAGCATATCCAAATATGGATTTCAAAGCCAAGAGAGAAGATCAATCGCGCATTTGGGTCACGATGGCTATTTGCCAAAAAGTGTGATTGAAATGGCACTGTTGTGGGGGTTCAAGGCATGACGCGTAACGAAGGGTTTTAAACAAACGTACGGAATCAATTTATTGGAGACTTGTATCAGATCGCCAACACGTAATTAATTTATACGATTTTTGCTGTGTATTCTACGCGGCTATTAACCGGAATAACTTGAGGTCAATCGCGTTTTACTCAACAGTGTGCTGAAATACAACGTTGCTATGGATGCTCCGTGGGTGTCGACGATGCTCAGAAATACGTATGTCAATTAAAAGGGCTAACTACAAGTTAAAACACACAGTAAGCGCTCGAAAAATATAGTGGCTTTGTGTAAAATGGCATTAAGAGTTTTGGGGGCAATGCGTTTATGCAATCGCTGGAACGTTCACTTAATTACGCCTTTATGTGGGTGACATGATCGTTTGAACAATAAAAATCAGGAAATCAATAAGGCCAAGGAAGAGCTCAGAAAATCATTCAAACAAACGAGTTGGGCATAAGGCACCACGTCATACGCGTGAATGTGCAAGAAGGAGAATTTAAAAGATCAATACGAAGCGACAGGTTGAAGGTTTGCTGATGTAGGCACTTGGAGCCAAGATGCTTGTGTTTTTATGCTAGGACCATCAAGCATTAATGGCGATTAAGAGTTTTGCTCAAAAACGATGTTGCGGCTGTATGCCAATTGGCCTTGTTAACGTGTGGTGGCTTCACAATCATAAAGTGGGGATTCAAGTTCACTAAGAACAAAGCTTAAGTATGCGGTGTTAGATTCACCGTGGAATACCTAGCCAGTACTTACGTCTTTCGTCCATTCAATGGTTTACTGACTTATCACGGCAGAGTAAGTTGATGTGGCAGTGATAGACATAAATACACACAAAAAAAATTATATTTGGAATTTCCCATTAAATTTACAAAACTTTAAATTTAACTTGCACACAAACCAATTTAAAAACGATTTAGAAAGCAAAAGAAATTTTATATAATACTAGCACAACGAATACTGTCAATAGAAGATGAGAATTGATTAGACAATGTCATTAATTGATGCTAAGGTTTAACTTTTCTGTTAACTTTTTCTTCGATAATTGAGTCGAGATACTTTATAATCTCATCTATCAGCATCCATTGATCTCTTTTATCCATTCTCCTTGTAAACTCTCCAACTGTTTCAGTACTAACAGCCTTTTCAAGCCATTCCAACTGATACTTTTCATTGAGCATCGGTCTAAACACATTTGCCAATTTCTGTTCGTTCAATACGTTTAAGAATTCTTCCATATGTTCCTTATCCTCCAATGCTGCTCGAAACAAATTTGCACGTGTTTGATCTTTAACAGCCACTCTGAGAAAAAACACTTGATTCATGTCCTTTAATACCGCATCGAGTTCACCCTTCAGTTTCTTATACTTCAGCGCCGATCTGAATTTCCTGACACCTTTGTCCTCCAACGCCGATTTGAATTTCTTGACACCTTTCTTGTCCTCCAACGCCGATCTAAATAACTTCAAGCGCGTATCATCCTTCACTGCCTCTTTGAGTAATTGCACTTTATTCTCTTCGTCGAGAATCCCTTTTAATATCGTCGCGGAATCCAATTCCGTACTGCTTAACATGTCTTCAACTAATTTTAGCCGTCCTTCTGATGCCAAAGCATCTTTAAACATCGTTAGACTATCAGCATGCTTCATAGCCGTTTTGAGCACACTGAATGTATCCTCATCTCTGATCAACCCTTCAAGCTTAGTCATAACTTCAAATTCCTTCGGCGTTATCCCTGCACCACGTTTTGGTAAACGCAACAAAAAGGCTTCAACACCATTTACCTCTTTCATAATTTTTTTAAGCAATTGCACTGCTTCATTGTCAAGGAGCACCGCTTGAAGCTCTTGCACGAGTTCCTCGTTTTTCAGCATCAACTTGAATGTGTCCTCCACTGTCTTCTTGCCTAGTTTATTGGCAAAAGAAGAAACCTGCCTGTTTGCTTTCAAGGCTTCTCTAACCAAAATTGTTTGATCAGCATACTGCAACGCAGCTTTGAGCAGACGCACTTGATCCTCAGTAAAGTCCAACCGAGAAAATCCTTCGAAATAGAAATTCGGAATATCGATGGTCGCAGTCAACATAGCTCTTTTTGTCGAAAGGGAATTTTTTAGCACAGTTTCCTCGATTATCCATCGCTTACGCATGAGATTAAGTACATTAGGCACCACAGAAAAACTCTTCGCTTCGTGCTCAATGAAGTTGAAACAAATGTATGCAGCGTAATTTAACCAGTGACTGCCACCCATTAGCAAGTCATAATAGCTATCGGATCCACGAAGAATTTCGTAAACAGAATTAAAGTCTGTATATCGCATTGATAGTAGACGATATGCTAGCTTGCTAGTCTCGACCGATTCTAATAAACTTTTCATGAAAGATTCGATTGTCTGATCTGAATTGTCATCAATTTTTCCAAGCCATGTTATCAAATTACCTCCGTTGCGATTTGCCGTGAAGAGTCGAACAATTTCCTCCGCAACTCCAGTTTGCTTGTCAATAAGTTTGACGACGTAAGATAGTAATGGAATGTGTAGCTCGAGGTGGAAAAATTCTTCAAGAGATCCGTCTTGTGTTTGCCGCATTAAACGGGTAAATATCATTGATGGTGATACTTCAGATTTGATCAAATGTTCTTGTGTTATCGTGCTTGTTGCAGGGTGTATAAGCAAATCAGTGAACTTCTTCTCATCGAGAAATGATTTCGCTTCTACATCATTTAACTCGAAAAGATTCTCTACGTGTTTGGATAGCTGCTTCAACTGGCTTGAACTCGGTTTATTGTTTTGTAGCAGTTCATTCACTTTACGTATAGTCGTCGGGACGACAATGACAGCTTCTTGAGTGTTTGGATTCGACGACAAGTAATTTTTGACTTTAAAAAAGGTAATAATTTCTCAAAAGTACTATCTTTCTTAGAGCAGCAGCGGTAGAAATATTTTGAGCTTTTCATCAGGAATGTTTGGGTGCCAAAAGCTGGCAAAAGCGTCACCAAGTCTGAGATTCGGCTAGCAAATTGGGTGAGCAGAACCCACCACCCCATTCGTTTCAATGCATTGCTCTTCAGCTTCAGGAAAGTAGAGCGTCTACTCATGAATGATTGAAAAGTTCAAAGCATGTCGTAGACGTCAAGGTGACACCCAGTTCCGTCTTCTCGTCTTCATGAGACAGCTGTGATAGCTACCGACCTGGGTTTCATATTTTTGCAAGGTCGGACGCCTCTCACGAGAGGTAAGTGCGCTGTGACGCACGAACCAAATCTCGGATTTAATCGTTGATCTTAATCGTTGTACTGCCTGGTGATGCACCTTACAACGTCGCTGTCTTAAAGCACAGGAAAGTTCATCTACAGGAAAAAGTAGAGATTTTGATTCGCCTGCAAAATAACTCTAACTAGCTGGCAAGAACGAGGTCGTGGTATGTGTAGTAAGTAACCTGAATAGACTACTGGACATGTTCGCATTCTCAAAAGAATATTCAAAGTATAACTCACATTATCTGTTTCTACGACCGTGAACGTCCTGATGTAACGCCGTCGCAACCTAGTTTCTTGATTAGCAGACACTGGAAATGTTGGTAGGATAACTGCATTTTTGAATCGTGTCTGTTTTGTCTGCACAGTCGTATACGCACCAAGCTGCACAAATACGCTGTCAATATCACTAAATCGACTATTTAAATCCAGTATATGTGAGCCAGCTGATTGCTGACTCTAATTGCAGTAGCCCCGTCGATCTTATCACCCATTTCGCTAAGGGAAAACGTCGCCATACAAGCTCTTGGGTTGTCATCGCAAGTGCCACATATTCAGCTTTCGCCGAGGAAAGCGCAACGATTGCTTGCCTCATGCTCTTGTACACAAGTGGAGCATCACATTCAATACCAGAAAACCAGAAGTCGAACGGCGCATAGCTTGATCTCCTCCCCAATTAGCATCGCTTGAGGTCTTCAATCCACTTGGCTGCTCACTGCTCTTCACGAATCGGATTACAATTGCAGAAGTTTCTTCCCAGTATCGCAGGACCCTCATTGCTGCACGCCAAATCATTCCACAAGGATCATAAAGATACTGGGATAGTACCGACAACGCAGTACTAATGTCGGAACGTGTGGCATTTGCAATATACAACATCGATCCAATCAAATCACGATACTTGTTCTCAGAGTCAAAGTGAACAAGAGTATCATCAGTGGCCAAATGGACATCGAATTTTGGACACTGTTCGCAACTAATTGTCTAACTCGTTCCAGTAGTGATAAAATGGGCTGTGGGTTTGCTTGATCACAAGATTTTCTTCAGTTCGACTGTGCCTACATATATTCGTCGGAATCGCCATTAAGAAGGCGGTATCAATGTCAAATTGGCAAATTAAAAGCTGACATTGGTAGCACACCGCTTGAAATACACGTATAGTGTTCATATTCGTTACAGGGGAGTATCTGTGAGTGTAGTCGACACCTTAAGACTGAGGGTATCCAAGTGTAACAAGCGTTGCTCTGCAACGCGTCCCATTGCCATTCTCGTCATGGTCGAAAGTAAATACCCGATTGTAGCCGATAATCTTGGCTTCTCGCGGTCGCATCAGTAGATCCCATGAAAGAATCGGGCGTGTGACCGGATTTCTCGGCGAATAGCTTCCTTCCAGCTTTTCGCTTCTGGTGAGGCCCTTGCCTTCTGATAGCTACGAGGCACTTCCATTGCGGATAGAGCAATTTCGTAGCTGCCCCAACGTGATCACTTACTATCGTGTTTGCTATTATCGCCACCTTTGTCAGAAGTACGACCTGGAAATCCACTTGTGCGTCGTCGTTTGAATCTGAGCCATTGGTGAGCCTTCACACCTACCTTCAGTGCTCACATTGTCCGAACTTGGTAGCATTCGTAGTGGGGCGTAAATGAGCCACTTCAAACGCACGAAATACGAGAAGATCATCACCACACAATTGCTGTGCTGCCACAATTGCACCTGGTGAGTTCGATACACGCTGAATATTTGTCAAATCCATGGCAGACGGATATTTCACATGCACGCTATGTTGCGGTGGAATATAGTTGGAAGAGTAGGTAGGCGTTCTACGTCGAATATCGCTATCTCTGGTCAAGAGTTTACTTTGAGTACGGTAAGTAGCGTCTTGACTCACCCGTTCCGGCACCAAGATTGCAGTTCGCTCAGAATAAGTGTCCCTTTCGGTCCCGGTGGGTTCACCTCCATCATCACCAGTAATGGCTTCCATCTACACGTTCTTCACGCAGTCTTTAACTGAACATTTGGTGATGCTTACCCTTCATCAAACCCTTCTCCGGTCGCTTTACTTAATAAAATTTAATTTAGCAAAGATCCACATTCACGAACATGGATGGCACTTGCTCGTTCAGTTCAATGGTACAATTTCTGACAAGGCGCTTAGCATCGTAGTCGCAAACTCGAGAGGACTTTGATCCGTCAGCGTACACAAGAAACAAATATCGGTAAGCCTTTGCATCCAGTTTGGACCTCGACATGTGCGAATCCACGAGACCCAAAAATCCGAAGATACTTCAGTGTAGGCTTTACTCCTATCAACGCTTGCGAGGCCGAGCGGAGTTCAGGATCCTGTTGTTGATATGCATAGCTGTCATCATTGCTCCTATTTACCACTGACGTTAACATGTTTCGCGTGAAGCATCGAGCGTGCCATTTCCGTTAGTGCCGTTCGGCGAGCCTGTTTGCTGGGGCGAATACGGTACTTTGATCTGATGTACAATACTTGATCGTGCGCAAAACGAATTGGATCACCAACTCCGATTTTATCCACCATTGTCGCTCCGAATGCACTTCACCCTTCTCCCATACTGATTTTTTACTAACTCGCTGCACTCCTTGACTCTGTCCACTGTAAGAAAGCTTGGTGATCTCCACTCATATGAGAACTTGCTACACTATCCAGAAGCCATATAGTTTCCCATATACGGTCCCACTTATTGCTGAGAATATAAACTCGTTGTGACTTCTGCTCTTCCGTTGAGGGCACGGCGACTTCTTGTGACTAAATTGTTTACACAAGAAACATTCTCCTGGAACCCGCTTGGCCCTTCATTGTTTTTCGACGATTCTTCCGACTCGCAAAGCCACGGTCAGTATTATGAAACTCAGCTGCTTTACTTGACAAACGATTCAAGCACATGTTGTCATGTGGTCATATCATTTGAAGTAAGTGAAGATATGGTAAGTAATCATTTCACCGCAGCAAAATGGTCTTGCAGATAGAAGTAACTTAATGCAACTTTGTCAATGCTGGGCTATTAATATTGCGTGAAGTGAGGCACTCCTGACTGTCGTGCAAAATATTGACCAGCTATTTAATACGACAAGTTCTAATTTTTCACTGTTCTGAATATCAAACACGATCCGAAACAACTTTGGATCGCGTAGATTACATTAAATCGTCGATCAATATGAAATTTTACATCTCATTACTCTTTTTAAACTAAGTGTGCGCCAGGATAAAAAACATGTTGGGATTCAAATAAGAGAAACAAATTGTGCTTTGAAGGTGTCTAGGTCGTCCAAGTTAGTTGTACAAAGCAGGTGTAAACCTACAGGATTTCACCATAACCACGGAATTAGATTGATGTCGGCGAAACAACAGCTGCTCCCCCTGTGTCTATTGCGTACACATCAATTACAAGAGCAAATGTTAATATAACCAACCCACAAGATGCAATTCTTGCGAATGCTTCATTTCAGTTGAAGTTTCACACAACTGAAATGCCAATGAGCGCATCAATCTCTTTGAATCGACAGCAGGCTTTATCTATTCATCACCTCAATCCTGCAGAAGCACTTGCATCTATCTAAGCTGCATTCACTCAAGCATTTCGACCATTGCGGTCAATTTGAACCTTCGTTCAGAGCTGAGGGCAACCACATAGTATTCGAGAAAATAAAGATATGTCGCGAGACCCGCATTTAATTCAGGTTCCTTACTTGGCAAAGAACAACAATTATATGCAATAGATCTACCACATATCAAACACTTGTTAGAATGATTGTGGTTGCTTCTGAGCACCCACTCCTTACGTTGGGTGATAGTCAAGACAGATTACGTGCGCCAAAGCCAAAGCGACCACGGAAAGATGATGGTGACAAGCTTGCACTATTAGATGCAGATACATCGTATAGTGATGCCAAAACAATTGCCTCATCTGAAGCTGATAAGTGAACCGTGATCAGGGTTAAGACACATTTATGAGATTTTGTTCGGCGTTCGGATGGTACAGTATTTGATATATTAAATACTGCACGATTGCGATTAAGTATTCTAAAACATACTATAATTTGTTAATATGCGGCTAGTACGAATATCACATGTAGTATGACATAGAAGCTGTGATCTCGACAAAGCTTGTTCAAAAGCAACCATTCATAGGCCCAACGTTTAAGATGTATTGGTAAATCAATTGCACAAACGATGCTGCTATCTGATTTAGCCACTTCAAGATGTATTTGGCAAGTGAGGCGATTTTCAATGCCGTGCTGACTCATGCCTGTTAATCCGCAGCGATAAGTCGATTCCCGAAAGATTTGATTTTGAACGTCGAAAATGTCCTCTTGTGCGGTGGATGCATGATGGCAAGCAGATGATTGAAGCCTTTCCCGGACGCATGTCACGTTCACACCGACGTGATGGGACCCATAGAAAAAACTTTCGGAAGGAGGTGCCAAGTACATTTTGACTTTTGTGGATGATTATTCACGATATGTGGTGGTTTACTTTCTGGTGAAGAGGGGTAGAGTTGCCGACAAGACCAAGATGTTCAAAGCATTGCATGAAAATCAATGGGGGCCCTGTATCAAGTGCCTGCGTTCGGACAACGGAACGGAGTTTGTCAACAAGACAGTTACGGAGTTATGTCAGCGGAACGGCTTCATGCATCAGCGTACAGTACCATACAGTCCCCAACAAAACGGGATTGCAGAACGAATGAACCGCAAAATTATAAAGAAGGCACGGAGCATGATACACTACAAGTGTGTTCCGACATGTTGGCAGGCAGAGACAGTAATTACTGCGGTGTACCTCATCAGTCGCTCTTTTGATACAGTGCACACAAACGAGCTGAGATTCACGATGAGACTTGGATGGATCACTTAAGGTTGTTTGGATCTCATGAATATGCTCACATTGATCAAGTGAAGAGGACGAAACTCGAAGCCAAAAGTTTTAAGGTTTTGCCGAAGACACCAAGGAATACCGAGTTTACAGTCTGGAGAAATACAAGATATCAGTATCACGGTCGGTTAAGCTGGACAGGCGCGAAGTGGGCGGCATTTAGAGCCGCACCCACCCAAACAAGTAAAAGTGATGCACATAACCCAGAAAAGCGACGAAAGCGCAGTGTTCGGGCCGACAAAACACCAAAAGATCAAGATGAGCCTATAGAGTGTGAAGAAGGAGAAATTCCAGATGATCCAATGAGAGAGGAGGAGTCCAAAAAGATGAATCAAGGGTCGAGGTACATCGATAACCGGCCTCAGTACACTCTGAACTGACAGAGTACAAAATTCATACATTGGATGCACAGAAAGATCGACTATTATTCCAACCGCAAGTGGAACTCTCAAGGCGTACATGCGAACCAATGATGATATTGGAGAACAGATCAGATGCCGAAAAAAGCTTAGAGGAAGAGAAGAACCACCATCTCCAAAAGCGTGCAAGGACTGATGATGACGGCCTTATAGCTAATGCTGTTGTCGCTTTCGCTGTAAGTGCTGGTGAAGAATTGAACAGGCCTACCACGTATGCGCAGGGCAATGTCTAGTGACGAGGCAGAACATTGACGACAAGCTTGGACGCCAAATTATAATCGCATCGCCAGAAAAGAACATGGACACTCGTTCTACGAGAGTCAGCTGGACGTACGATTGAATGTTGGACGTTTGCTAAAAAGTGTGACCAGAAGGGATAAGCAGAAATTTGGCGTGATTTTCTCCGAGAATTACTCTTAAGTGACCAACATGAACTCAATTTGAGTTTAACTTGCAGTGTATGCGGTTTTAGGCTACAAAATGGTGAAGGTGAACGTCGACACCGCCTTTATCAACAGTGTGCATTCAGATCGTGTCTACATGGTGGCTCCGATACGTGTTAAAAGAGCTTAAGAGTTCGCCTTTCAGCTGAACAAAGCTATGTATGGACTCAAATGCTTGGAACAAGACGATCGAGCACGTCTCCAAGAAGAATAGTCGCAAAAGTTGTGGAGCGGATCAATGCGTCTACGCCAAAAAAGGAAAAAAAAAATTTGTGCACGTATGTCGATGCTATGATCATTGCAGCCAAGACGAGCAGTGAGGTTCTTAAGTCAAGGGGACGCTCAAAGTGCTTTTAAGATAAAGGATCTCGATATGGCGAAATTCATCTTGCATATAGAGATCGACCACGACAGGTCAGCTTTCACACTAATGGCCATGCAGACACGGTACATTATCGACGTGCCTGAGCGATTTGGACAAAAAAGGCCATGGACGTCGACAATCCGTGTACATCTGGTCTCAAGCTGTCAGCGACACAGTCACCAAGTACAGAAGCTGAGCGTTCAGAGATGGTCAAGACCATACCTCTCACTGATTGAATGTCTGCTATACATTACAACTTGCACTCGGCAGGACATCGCATATATCGTTACACAACTGTCTCCATTTCCCGAGAATTCCGGATTACAACACTGGAACGCCGCAATACGCGTACTACTTAAATTCGACACGTAATCCCGGGTTCATTTACCAAGGAGGACTTGGAAATTGTTGAAGCTTTTTCGGATGCAGACTGGGGTAGATACATCGACGACAGACGGTCTGTCTCAGGTGTGTCGATCAATATTTGATAAGCTCGGTTGTGTTCAAATCCATGTATCCGAAAACCGTCGCACTAAGTTCCGCAGAAGCAGAGTATATGGCACTAAGCTTGTGCACATAAGAAGTACTTTGGATGCACGCAAGGCTCAAGGACATGGGTCAAGAGCAAATGGGAAGCACGCAAATATGGGAAGACAATCAAAGTGCAGTAGCTTTGGCAAACGATGCGGGCTACCACGCTCGTACAAAGCACGTGGACATTAAACATCACTTTATTCGGGAGAGCGTTCAGCCTGGATTACTCAAGATTGGCTACATCGATACAAAGCGTCAGCTTGTAGATTGCGCACCAAGGAATTTGGGACCAAGATGCTCGAGTTTCTGCGAGGGGCAGCAGGCATCAAGACCAGGTCAGCAACACAATCAACATTAGCATTGAGTAGGAGTGAAAAGTTTACTGCGCTGAATGCATGTGGATGACGTCACAAGGATTAAGGTCATGTTTACAATTACTATCATGAACATGGATGCTGATTCCGGACATAATGATATTCGTTCATTCGTCTAGATAAATAAGATTACACTAAGAAGCTTCTGGAAGGATCGAGAGAGTCAGTGCTTAAATTTAAATCGGAGTTAGCAAATAAAGGACCTAAATATATTCACTTCGTTTTTTTGTCATCTTCTTAGCAAACACTCAAGATAACCACCAATAATCGTATGCAAAAAGTCCCAACTCAACGAGATTTAATAAAACTCAGCTTACCGATAGGGAACTTCGTGCCTGTTTAGATTTGATGTTTTCTTACTAGGGTCTACTGAACGATTTTGCGAAAGAAGCACATTTTTCGTATTGTTTTAGCCACGAACAAAAGGAGCAAGCAAGGCGCAGATATCTCGTAATTCTATAGATTTGGCATCTGCTATTACTGTGGAGCTGCTGCAAAAATTTCTCAGCATGGCTACGGTCTACCAACTCTGGCTATATCTGATGAATTTTACCTTTCGATCTTAAATCAGCCCTTGTGGCGCAGGAGAAATACTCATCTCGAATACAGCATCTTGTTTTTCTAGCTTAAATTGGATTGGTCGCGCAGGATCCACATGTTTCGTAAGATTCTCATGAAGATGGTAAGTTCTACCGCCATAAATTATTGGTTTGCCTCTTTGAGAGCGATGTGAATAACCCGCACTTGAACATTGTTTGCTAGTTTTATACTCCCGTCGTGGAGTACACGAACTTGTAACGTAGTCGATACGTCTGATCCGGCGATGCCAAGGCCACGACATGTATCACTGAATGACTTTTTGATCATAATACAGCAAGTTAATGCCCATTTTTATGCGCGACCTGGGAGCTTGACGACGGTAGATGCGTCGTGCTGTGCTCCGTTTGGAGCATGATCAAATGTATGGTCATCTCAACTTATTTATCCGAAAATTGGGGTTCTTCCGTTTCTGTCATCAAAGGTCCGAACGGCTAGCAGCTCTAGAACAACGCCAAAAATTATTTGTACTTTCACCGACGCCCAGTAGTGATTGAATCACCGCATTATCATAGCTGGTCAACGCCTTCCTATGCAAAGAGAAGAATTTTACCCAAGCAGTCCACTTTAACAAGCGCACAGGGTTGGCTCCATATAGGAGAACTAGCATGACTAGTGCCTGGATTGCTTTCTTGCTTTGAGTGTGACAAACGCTTGCAATTAAATATTTTTAAACTGAATAATCACATTCTACTTTACCAAAAAAAATCATTGTTTAATGTGCTGCTGACATCCCATGAGCTATCAATCCAGCAATTCCGTCATTAGTATAAGATCATACTTCAGTATGTAAACACTCACAATGACCAAAAAATGTTAAGCATTTTTCATTCAGCTGTATAATGCTTCATCTTGGACATATTTTACAAAAAAAATGCGTTTTGTTTATGCACAACAGTGCAGTATATACTTTGGTACATGAACGATTCAACTCTTACACTATCGACTAAATGATATCGCCCACTGCAAAAAGAATTTCCGCAGGACTCACATACAACACAAACATATACCATGATGGAGCCCAGTGGAAACTCACACTCGGCGTCGTCTAATGTCCCATTTCCTGCTCTATTGTAGCCTTGATGTTATTAATAACACCCGACGAAGAGCTGCTAGCTCCGCAATCTTCGTCCAGTGAGTAACGTGCCACTCCACGCGTATCAGAAGTGCTTTGCCCTCGATGCCTCGGACCTCGTTCGACAATGCCACTCTCGGCATACAGCAGCTGCTTTGTTTCTTGAGCGGTGCTCAGTGGATTACACGCCTTTCTACGTTCAGCCCGCGAGCCATGCTCAGGACTCTTGCTTAATACACCTTCGGTATTCGACAAATCGGATGCTCCGGTACTTAGCACATTGACCGTTCCGGTCCATTGCCCGCGCGAATAGCGCTTCTGCTTCCTAGCAACGGTGGGTTCATGACTAACCAAAGCTCCACCAGGAGACGTGTGCGTGGCGCCCACCATCAATCCATGGCTCATGGCATGCCATACCACGGATAAGGCCATGCATTGGGTCCAAGTCTACGACTAAGCAGCATTTCACGCAGTCAAAGTAAAAAAATCTGTCACCGAGATCTACAGGGACCCTCGGTAAGTGACACAAGTCCCCGTCGCTAAGCGAACAATAACGGTGTCACTCGACCGCGCTTACAGCGCCTCAGCATACAGCTGACTTCCTTCGATCGTAGAGCGTCGAGCATAATTCTCGACGCACCAGAATCGATAAGGATTTTTGATGGCTTGTCAAAGCCCATCACGGTCGCTTTTACGACTACCAGGCCCGTCTTGCACACACATTCCGTTTTCAAGAGCACGGAGCTCTTCAGGGCCTGACCTAGCTACCCTCTACCTCTTTGAGGCCCAACAAAACCCAGTTCTTCTCCAGTAGGACAACCCGCGCCTACTGGGATTTCTCATTTCCCCGCGACAAACCAAACTGACTAGAAGCGGAAGATCGGTTCGATGAACCTTGACGCGCCTCGCGCAGGGGATAATCAATCTTGAGGTGACGGGTGTCTCCTCAGACCAAACATCGTCTGGTGTCTGAACGCTCAGAGCTCTGCCTCCTCGTCCTCAGCATAGCTGAGATCTATCGACTCAAGCCCGCTCGACGAGCCGCTAGAGTATTCATTCCAACTAAGTCGTGCCGGCCCTAAGTTAATTCGGCATCCAAGGCCACATTCAATTTTTTTTGAAAACGAGACGGATGCACACGGAAGACTTCCATTCTGGCCACACCAGTGCGAAGGCCCTCCATAAATACGGTCACCGCGACCGCCCCTGGAGATGATCGGCTGCCATCTCATCAACGAGAGCTCTCAACGTTTGGACAAAGTTCACCAACTCCTTCTTGTCCTGTCGGGAGGCAAGGAAACGCGATCACACGCGATATGTCCTATCAAGCGGCGAGAAAACTCGCAAAAGCTGACACTTCAGCTCCTTCTAGTAGGGAAATGCCGCTTCAATCGAATCACCGCACGTTACAGATTTTTCGCGCCCGGCCCTCGAGCTTGGAGATAGTTAGAGCCATGCGCTGTTGCTCATTTTAAATCATGGCGTATGCCATAGCCAACTCGGCCTCTTTTATCCAGAGCAGGAGACTCTCTCTATCCCATGGACGCAGTCGACGCTGACAGCTTCTGCTGTAGGTGCTCTAACAGAGCATTTTTAAAAACGCCTCCAGGCGCGCGTGTATCGCTTCGGGCCCTTGTGCAACAAGTGCAGCACGCCCTCAGGGGTAAGCAGGGACATCAGCATATTAAGCTCGCCCTGTATGCCCTGGGGCAAATAGGAGTTTTCTCCGTTTTCACAGAGGATCAGACATAACGCTCCAGGTGTTGATTGACTTCGCGTGTTCCCAAATTTAGCAGGCTGCCTTTGCTTTTTTGCTCAGAGGAAGCTAAGCAAAGGTCACCGACCTTACGATCTTTACAAGAACCAGTACGAGTGCAGCGGATCGCGATCCAATACCTCCAAAAGTTCTAAGAACCTCAGCTAAGGAAGAGACGCCCTCCGTCTAAAATTGAGACTGTATTCAATTGTTTTACCTGCGGCAGAGCCGTCTAATTAGGATTTCCTGATTAATATTGTCATCCCTGATTAATATGGTAGAACCTAATTTATTTGAATTACTACTGGCTAAGTCATGGCTTTTTATTACGACATAGTCACCATTATGTGGTTTCACCAACTTATGTAATTTGCACCTATGTACGCCGCCCTCTCATACAAGGGTATGTAGCCCCGTTTCATACAGCCAACACCGCTACTTGTTAAGCTTCGTAATCTACGTGGACTGATTGAAGATGCAAGTTGAAGGAGAATTCTGAGCTGTGCGGCATCACATTACAGATTGTGTGTCGTATGTAAGTGCAAATTGCATGTTACAGAGAATGATAGTCGAAGAAAGTTCGCGAACGAGTTCACAAATCTGTCAGGGCTCTAGAACAGGCTCTCGTAGCAGGTCACGTGGACTTATAAGACTTTTAACTTGATCGACCATTTTTCATTCTGCTCTGCGAAGCACAACTTTTTTGCTAAAAATATATACAATTCGCGGGGGGGGGTACGTGTTTAGGGAGTTTTTGATATCCTTTACACAAGGCACAATAGCGGCATGATACCGAACAATGATGAAAGGTTAATTGACATAATTGTAAATATGAAAATGAGATCCATGGCACTCCAATATTTGACAACAGCAGTATGGCTGATCTACTAAATATCAAGTATTTAACGTTAATGTGCGACCTCGAAATTCGTATTTAGTATGTGTATTGACTATAAAAACTTTTAATACCAGTTTTGATGTACAAAATTTTAAAAGAATGCGATTAAAGTGTATCATACATTATTACAACATAAAACTAGTCGTTTGCGCATTTCTCTTGAAGTAAGTCAAGATATAATACAGAAATGTTACCTTAGCGAATACAGATGGCTTCTAATTGGCTGTAATAGTATGTACCAAATTTTGTTTTTGTTCACAAATTGTGGAAAGTGTTTATAGCTGAAATTTTTTTAAGAGAATTTTCAGCCCAGTGATAGACCAGATTTTGTGACGATAAAAACAAATCATAAGGCTACGTCTGCCTGACCCAGTTATTTGTCTCATATACCAGTGACGTTTAATTGGCTGGTGACACAGCTGTTCAGGCCTCATTGTGGCTATCCACGAGCCACGTAGTGGTTCCAGTCTTAATTTGGGGGCTGCCGATTTCGTCAATCGTGGAGAACTCCAAGGACGTCACGCTCATTGAGGTGAAGGAAAAACTTCTGAAGGAATATGAGCGGCTCGAGAAGAAGGAAACGACTGAGCGCGCGTTCACCCGGCGACAAGCACGATGACACAAGAACATTTGATCAAATCTGAAGTATCATCATCAACGATATTCACCCATTTGATGCTGCAAACACAAGACGGATCTCTTTTTTTCATTGAGCGTTTCCCAGTAATACCACTGAGCAACACTTAGTTGAGTCCTTCTGATACCAGGATGTGCAGCAATGCTGGAGTCGTGTGACATCGAAATGATATCCGTACGTAATTCATCGTCACTTGGTACGCAAAGTCTCCAAACTTGATCTTCAGTGCGAAGAAAGATCAATTCGTCCTTTTTCACAAAGACTTCGTCGCTGACTCGTATTTCTGCGAACTTAGGATCTGACTGATATCCTTGCTGAAATCTTCTCTTCATTTCTTCACTCATTCGCACAGAACTGAATGAAATTCGCGTTGCGTGGTTAACAACATAACGCTGTTTTACCATTGGCTTGACTATATCGCAGATTCTCTCCCCCGAATAAGGCGAATTGGTCAAAAGAGCAACGTCACGTTCGTTTAGAGACATAAACTCTTCTACTTGGTCAAAATGACGGTCTAAAGAACCACGTGTCGAACCACACTTAACGTCGCATGTATGCACGGCAATTGACTTGGTAGATTTTGGCGATGGAATTCGCGATAGTGCATCAGCAACAACGTTCAACTTCCCACGGCGATGGTGCAATACAAAGTCAAAAGAACTGAAAAAGTCCAACCATCTCGTCAAA